CCACCACCACCACCACCACCATCATCATCATCATCATCATCATCATCATCATCATCATCATCATCATCATCATCGCCCTCCTTTCGACCGCAACATGGGGTCGCGCTGGCCCTCACTGATCCCCCCTGCGGATTCCTCCCCCTCCTCGTTATCAGCCAACTCTCCTCGTCCTCCTTACCCGTTCCGCCGGAAACTTGCAGGCGCCTCTCCCCCACCCACCTGAGGCCACTCCCCGAAGCGCTCGAATGGGGAAGATACAGACAGAGAGAGGGAAAGAGGGAGGGGAGAGAGAAAGAGAGAAAAAAAGACGATCTCTCTATATATATATATATATATATATAAAAACACACACTAGAACCATCGCGCGCGCTTCGCGCGCGCTCAAGTTCGAACTACTTGGGCTTAGTGAGCTAGACCATGGAGTCTCATGTTTGCCGTTTCCTGCATCCAAGGGCTCTCTTGGAGGCCCCGCGCAAGCCTCGGAACCGTATAGGAGGGGAACTGCGGAAACGCGGAAATCACTAATCCCCGTGAGGTTTTCAACGATTTGGGACCCGCAATGGCTTGCTGGTTTCATTTCTAGGAGCTGAGGGGGGCCTTAATTTTGTGCAAGAGTAGACAGGGGGCGAACGTGAAATTATCCCAGTGCGACCCTACCTAGGAGTTGGAGCCCCCAGGAAAGCAGCATTAGTAGTAACAGTAAAGCTAAGCTGAAGCTAGGCTAAAGCTAAGCTAAAGCTAAGCTAAAGTAAGCTAAAGCTAAGCTAAAGCTAAGCTGAATCTAAGCTGAAACTAAGCTAAAGCTAAGCTAAAGCTAAAGCTAAAGCTAAGTTGCAGCTAAGCTGCAGCCAAGCTAAAGCTAAGCTAAAGCTAAGCTGAAGCTAAGCTAAAGCTAAGCTAAAGCTAAGCTAAAGCTAAGCTAAAGCTAAGCTAAAGCTAAGCTCAAGCTAAACTGCAGCTAAGCTGCAGCCAAGCTAAAGCTAAGCTAAAGCTAAGCTAAAGCTGAAGCTAATCTAAAGCTAAGCTAAAGCTAGGCTAGAGCTAGGCGAAATCTAAGCTAAAGCTAAGCTAAAGCGAAGCGACAGCTAAGCTTAAGCTAAGCTAAAGCTAAGCCGAAGCTAAGCTAAAGCTAATCTAAATGTAAGCTAAAGCTTAGCTGAAGCTAAGCTCAAGCTAAGCTAAAGCTAAGCTGAAGCTAAGCTGCAGCTAAGCGAAAGCTAAGCTAAAGCTAAGCTAAAGCTAGGCTAAAGCTAAGCTCAAGCTAAGCTAAAGCTAAGCTGAAGCTGAGCTAACGCCAGGCTAAATCTGAGCTAACGCGAAGCTAAAGCTAAGCTGCAGCGAAGCTAAAGCTAAGCTGAAGCTAAGCTAAAGCTAAAGCTAAAGCTCCCAGGGGACTGGGGGAACCGCAGGGCGGGGACTTGGGGAACCGCCCGGGGCGCTTTCCACTGCCCGGCCCCTGTAAGCTAGACCCTTCTAGGCAGAGCCTAGGTAGGGAAAAAAGGAGATGTGGGATTTCCATGTTTTCAAGTTGCCGTGTCTGGGCCGTGGATGCTAAAAAGTCTCTGGATACAGGCCACGGTCCGTTGGGGTGCATCTCGTGGGATCTTCGTGAGATCTTGGTGAGTTTGAAATGAAACGAATGAAAATGTTTCAACTCATGTGATCATGGGATCTCGATTTCTACGGTGGTTTCAGGGCAGCCAAAAGGACACGAAGACGATCCAAGAGAGTGCCAAGACAGCGTCAGAGAGTTCAACCAGATTCCCAAAACACAGTTGCATGCGACTCCGAAGTCTCGCTGGGGCTCGAGGAAGCGGATAACCCAACTTGAGAAAAAAAACACAACAAATGAAATCCCACTGTTTAAAGGTTCCTCGGTTTTCGCACGCTGGAAGTGGGAAAAGGTAAGGAGGCGAAGAAAACATGGACAAAAACCAATGGAAATCAACGCTGTTACCCTCTTCGGGCTTTCTCGGGGCGGCTCTCGAAGCTCTCTTTTTTGGGGGCTCTTACGCCCCCGCAAGGGGCGGGCCCCCCGCGTGCGTTGCGCGCGGTGCACGCAGCGTCTTATGCTTCTAGCGAAAGCGAAACGCATGCGCTGGGACCGTCGAGCGAGACGCGCCCGCCGGGTGGGGCGGGCACGCCGGCGCGACGCATCGCACGGGCAAAATGCCCCGAATCGTTCTTCTCGCGCGCGGAGCGGGCGGGCACGGTCAGCGCGCGCGCTGCCGCAGCGCGCGCTGGGAACGCAACGCAGGGCGCTCGTGCACGCGCGGCGCGGGGCAGTAAAAACGCCGCGGGGTGCGTTGACCCCAAAGTAGCAAGTGATGCGGCGCGGGCGTCCGCGGCGGCGCAGACGCGGGTGGGCGCGCGGACGGGCGCGACCGGCGTAGTCGCAATGCCGGGCCCACTCCACGTCGCAGAGGAAAAGGGCGGGCGCGCGCTCCATGATTTGGGCCGCCATGCCCATGGCGACCACAAACTAGTTGGAGCGCCCATTGCCCCAGAGCGCGTCATTCCCCCCGCTCTTACCAACGCCTCCCTCCCAACACAACACATTTGCCTTGCGAAAGAATCACGCACGCAGCGGAATAGATCGCAAGATCTGCCGAGAGGCCCGCGACGCCACCGCGAAGACGCGCGCCGCCGTGGACAGCCTGATAGCGCGCGAGGGGAAGGCGCACCTGATCTGGGCGAGGAGGAGTGACAACCTGAGGCCCCACGCCGCGCAATCGCCCTCGCACGGGGCGAGCCCTGGCCGCGCGGCGGGAGCGGCCCTGCATTGCAAAGGCAAACCTAGCAGCGTTTGGGCGACGCGCGTCGGCGTGCGCTCGAACAGATACAAGCCCGCGCCGCGGGCGCATCTACGCGGGTGGAAGGAGGCACAAGCATCCGAGAATAACTCGGCTACATCATGACACATCACTAGGTCCAGCAGCCAGGCTCCCGCGAGTATCCGGTGAGATGGCCACGCGAAGATGGGTCTGCACGTCCGCGCGCCCGACAGAAGCTTCTGCCGGAACGCCTCCCCGTCGCGCATGACACGCCCGGCAACCACCTTCGGGGGAATTCACCTCCACCTTCGAACAGAGACTCCAGTTCGAGAGGTGCGCGAGTTGCATCGAGGCGCGCTCAATGTTGCCCGGGATCATCGACTTGATTCGGCCCTCAACTTCGCAACGCTTGGGGATGCACCAGATTCGCCAGCACTGCCGCGCCCCATGATGAAGGCATGGTCAGCGCCAGTTCTGGCCCGTGGATTTGCTGAATGAGTTAATGCTCTAGTGGGGTCGTCCGCCAACCAGACGACGGACGTTTCCCTTTCCTTGATCCTGGCAGGCGAGACAGGGTCAGCGCCTCGGTGCCACTGACGAGCAGGAGGCCCGCAGCATACTCGAGATGGCCGACGGATTCCGGAAGGTCCTCGGCGGCCTCCCTCTGAATGGCAAATCGTTCCGCCACGCGCTCGCCAGATACGCCGCCGCGGGCGACTGCGGCTTGCAAGACAGCACGGGCTTCTGACAGGGCGTCAACCAGGGGGGGCTTCAGCCAGAAACTCATTCCTCACATCGTTCCGCGCCACGAACGCACGCAAGTGCCCTGGATTTGGGGGCGCTCCGCGAGCGCAGAGCCAGCAGCGTCGAATATGATCACGCGCCCGGAGAGCTTGGGGAGAGGTGCACAGTAGGCGGCCAGATATGACGCAACCTGCGTGCTCCTCTGCAACGACGACAGTGCTGCCACTTCGCCCAGCGCGTTAAACAGCGCAGCGCAGGCCGACTGAGGGGAGGAAGCTCTCTCGACAACACGTCCCGCCAGTCGTACTCGCGGCGCACAGTGGCCTCACGTAGCTTGCGAGCGTCTTCGAAGACAGGCACGGCGGCTCGCGCGGAGCACCACGAAGCCGCGAAATCAAGCTCGAGAAAGAAGGTCGGAGAGAGCGCGCCCGCAGCGCCGGAGCAAAGGGGGGGGGCCCTAGCTACCCCCCCCCCCCCTCCCTGCCACCTCCCCTGCTGGAATCCCCCCTTGACTACCCCCCTTTCGCTACTCCGAAGCTACCCCCCCACACTCCCCCCCTTCCCAAAGGGAGGAGGAGCTTAGCTCCCCCCCCCGCCCCCCTCGAAACCCCTCTGCCGGAAGCCACCCCCCCCCTTCCCCCTGTGGTTCCAATGGGGCGGGTGGCTTAGCAGCCCCCCCCCATCCCCCCCTTCGGCGCCCGGAAGCTACCCCCCTCTGCCCCCCTTCCGACAGGGAGGGGGAATCGGCGCCCCCCCCCCCACCCCCCCCCCTTGACCCCCCTGCCGGAAGCTACCCTCCCTATTTGCCCCTTTGGTTCCAAGGGGGGGTGAGACTTAGCAGCCCCCCCCCCCCCCCTGTCGGCACCCAGGAAGCTACCCCCCCCCTTGCGAAAGGGAAGGGTGGATTAGCAGGGTCCGAAAAAACTGGACCACGACCCAGGCGCCGAGAAAACAAGAAACGAGAACACGAACCAGGGTCAGAGGAAACGAGACGACGACCCAGGGGCAGAGAAAACGAGAAAACGAGACAACGAACCAGGGTCAGAGAAAACGAAACCACGACCCAGGGGCGGAGAGAACGAGAAAACGAAAACAACTAACCATGGCCCGAGAAAACCAAACCACGACCCAGGGGCAGAGAAAACGAGAAAACAAACCAGGGCCAGAGAAAACGAGACCACGACCCAGGAGCCGAGAAAACGGGAAAACGAGAAACGGAACGGGGTCCGCGAAAACGAGACCACGACCACGGGGCAGAGAAAATGCGACAACGATAAAATAAACCAGGGTCCGAAAAAACTGGACCACGACCCAGGGGCCGAGAAAACAAGAAAACGAGAAAACGAACCACGATCCAAGAAAACAAGACCACGACCCAGGGGACGATAAAGCAAGAAAACAAGACAACGAATCAGGGTCAGCGAAAACGAGACGACGACCCAGGGTCCGAAAAAAACGAGAAAACAAGACAACGAGCCAGGGGCCAAGAAAACGAGACAAAACCCAGGGGCCGAGAAAACGAGAAAACAAACAGGGGCCCGAGAAACCGAGACCACGACCCAGGGACCGAGACAACGAGAAAACGAGAAAACGAACCAGGGTCAGAGAAAACAAAACCACAATCCAGGGGCCGAGAAACGGAGAACACGAGAAACCGAACCAGGGTCTGAGAAAATGGGACCACGATCCAGGGGCCGAGAAAACAACAAACAAATCAGGGTCAAAGAAAACGAGACCACGACCCAGGGGCCGAGAACACGAGAAGACGAGAAAACGAACAAGGGTCCGAGGAAAAATAACACCACGACCCAGGGGCCGAGAAAACAAGAAAACGAGCTCACGCACCATGGCCCGAAAAAAAACAAAACACAAAACAACGAAAAGCCGAGAGAACGAGCAAACGAGACCGCGACCCAGGGGCCGAGAACACGAGAAAACGAAAAAACTAACCAAAGTCCGAGCAAACGAGACCACGACACAAGGGCACAGAAAACGCGAAAACGAACTAGGGCCCGAGACAACACGACGGCAAGAGGAATCAGGGCCCGAGAAAACGAGACTACGAACCAGGAGCCAGGAAAACAAGAAAACGAAAAAAACAAACCAGGGTCAGAGCAAACTGGATCACGACCCAAGGGCCGAGAAAACGAAAAAACGAGACAACGAACCAGGGGCCAAGAGAACGAGACCACGACCCAGGGGCCGAAGAAATGAGAAAACGCGAAAATGACCCACGACCCAGGGGCCGAGAAAACAAAAAAACGAGAGAACGAACCAGGGTCCGAAGAAACCACGACCCAAGGACCGAGATCACCAGGCTCGAGAAAACGAGACCACGACCCAGATAACGAGGAAACGAGAAAACCAAACGGGGTCCGCGAAAACGAGACCACCACCCGGGGGCTGAGACAACGAGAAAACGAGAATACTAATCAGCGTCCGAGAAAACGAGAAAACGAACCAGGGTCCGAGAAAACGAGAAAACGAAGCGGGGTCCAAGAAAACTGGGCCACGACCCAAGCGCCGAGAAAACGAAAAAAACGAGAACACGAACCAGGGCCAGAGAAAACGAGACCGCGACCCAGGAGCCGAAAACGCGACAAAAAATACCCCAACACCACCACCACCACCACCACCACAAACAAAAACAAAAAACAAAAACAAAAAACTAGCCAGGGGCCGAGAACAAGAGAAAACGATAGAAGGAATCAGGGCCCGAGAAAATGAGACAACGAACCAGGGGTCGAGAAAACAAGAGAACGAGAAATCGAACCAGGGGTCGACGTTATTCCCTCATGCGTTCTCTAGCGCTGCGGTGCACACCTGTCGTCAGGGATTCCGCCAGCGCGCCAGAGCCCCGGAAGGGAGCGGGGGAGGTAGCTACGGAAGCCCCCCCCCCCCGCGCGAAAGAGGGGGGGAGGGGGGCAGCTCGAAGCCGCCCACCCCCTGCGCCCAGACCAAAAAAGGAAGAAGCCCCCGAAGCCCCCCCCCCTTGAAAGGGAAGCCCGGGCCCACCTTCTGCTCCGGAAAAGGGAGGGAGGGGGGTAGCTTCGAAGCCCCCCCCCCCCATAAAGCCAGGGCCCCCCCTAGCTTAGAAACCCCTGCAGAAGGGGGGGGCGGGGGGGCAGCTTCGGAAGCCCCCCCCCCCCCCCCCTTTGGAAGGGAGGAAGGGGGAGGTAGCTTGAAGCTGGGCCCCCCCTTTCCGCATTCCCGGCACCGCGGGCGCGCTCTTTCGAAGGTCGGCTGCGGGCGTGGACCTGAGTGGCCTGGGCAAGAGGCCATCTTGTAACTTGTGCGTCTTGGCGCTGCTCGAGTCGACCGCAGGACCGCTCTTCGCACTCTTGCCCCGGCAGTAGATCACAGCCGCCGAATCGAAGCATCTGTCGTGGACGTCGGCACCGGAAGAGCGCGAGCTCAGACCGACAGGGCGAGGTAGGCATTCTAGTCCACTGACTGACTCAGACCACGCAGCCAGCATGGTCTTCGTCTGGTGGAAGAACTTAGAATGAGTCATGAGGACGAGCTGGCCACCGCCCCTGACTCGGCCGACCACATTGAGCGCAACTCCCCCGGTGGCAAGGTCGGAGTTCGGGCGCGGAAGGTTCACGGCCACGCAGTCGTGCAGGGATTCCGCCGTGAAAGAATCGGTGACACGGCACTCCATGCCGGTGGCGCGAGGGTCGGCCTCTGCGTGGAGGTGCACGACGCTGGCAAGCGAGAGGTACACCGCGCCGTGGACTTCCTCTGCCACCACTTCCTGCGCCAGCCGCAAGCGGGAGGCGGGCACAGTTCACAGCCCGAGCCCCGCGCAAGCCTCGAGGAATGACCCGCAAGACTGGACACGGAACATCTTGAGCACGTGAGACGCCGCGTCAGTGCCAAAAGAATGCAGTCCTGCGTCAGACATGCGTCCGGCAGACACAACGTCGACTTGGGAACTGCGCCCGCCAAGGTAGGGCCATGTGGAGTCGCCAGGTAGGTGAATCACATATATGCCGATCTGCGCGGCGCAGTAGTCTCGGAACAGCCAGGATGCGGGCACGCGCGAGTTCGAAAAGTAACTGCCCATGGGTTCACTAGCGGACATACGCGCGGTAGCGAAGTCGATGGTGCCACTGAGCATCATGCGCAGCTGAGTTGCAGTCTGGTAGAGTCTGCTCTCCAGGAGCTGCAGTGCAAACATCTGCTGCCGCGCAACGCGCGGCCTGGTGGGCACTGGGGAACCGCGCGGACCAGAAAAGAGCATGAAAGCCTCCACGGACTTGGGCCCCGCATGCGCAGCCTTCGCTGTGAAAGAATGTGCATAGTGGGAGGAGAGCTCGGCGCTGAGCTCTGCGATCTCCTGCGACAGGGCAGCGGCGGACTTCACTATAAGGAACTGCAAGCGAAACGCCCGTTGGTGCTGCACCAAACCGACTAGTGCGCGCCTCAGCGCCGTCACAGTGTTGGCGGCGTCGTCAAACTTCAGCTGAAAGGGGTACACGTCGTCGACGACGCCCCAGACGTCGTCGACGTTGACGTCGCGCCAGACATCATCGCTCGTCAGAGCCTCCAACACCTCAAACACGGTGGCCCTGTGGCGCTCCAAACGCACACGGTCCAAGAGCCATCTGCGCCTGAATTCGGTGGAAGTCCCCAAGGCAAGATTGATGGCCTCAGGTGAGGAATCCACGTCCATGTCCGTGTCCACAGTGACGACCCTGGCAACTGAAAAACCGAGCATGCACAGCAGCGTCGACCCGCCTTGCTTGCCGCCCCCCAAGTCAAGAATCACATTCTTCGGCGTGTCACGTGTCGCGGACAAACCGAAGAACGGCTCTCGAAGCTCTCTTGGGATGTTTTGGGGGCCTCGTCGGGGCTGCTTTGTGGGCCTCTCAAGGGTCTGGGGTGTGTTGGAGGGTCCCGGAGTCCTCTCGGAGGTCTCTGGAGGCCTCCTGCTCCCGCTCTTGGGCTCATCTTGGGCCTGTTCTGGGGTGGTCTGGAGTTGTCCCGGGCACCTCTTCGGCAGTCTTGGGGCTTGGCTCGTTTTGGAGCCGTCTTGGGAGCGTCTTCGGCGGTCTTGGGGCGGTCTTGGGGGCATCTTCGGCTTTTTGGAGCGTTGGAGGCATGAAATGGTGAGAAGGCC